CGGAGGAGTAAGATGATGATGTCGTTATTAAGAAACCCGTGAATTACTGCTCTAAGACTGTCCCGGTTTGTTTTTGCGAGTATTGAGTGCCACCGGCCAATATTTTCTTTATTTTCGGTCCGACGAATATACTCGCTTTACTTACACTTTGGCTTGAAAAAAATTCTCTTTATAATTCTGGAAACCTCCTGTTACTTCTTATTAAATCTTGATATTAATGAAGATTATACATAATATATACAAACTGTTTTATGAGCCTTTTTATATGAAAGGAGGTACTGATACATCATTGGGCTCTCCAATTGGTTTCTATTTGATATTATGTTTTTTTTTCTCTAGAACTCGGTCAGTGTTAACTGTTGATAATATGCAAAAGATAATATGGATATTTAGAATTGCCTTGCGTTCCCGTCAGAAAACCAACCATTATAAATTCTCAATAATTATGGTAATTAGTATAAGCCAGTTGTAATTTATTAAAAAGTATCAGCAGTCTAAGTTTTAAAGATGCAAACTCGGAAAGCCGTGGTTTCGAAACCGCTATTTGACCACTGTTGTTAACTATTCCTAATATAAGCATTTTAAACTTACTTGGAATGTTATAAACAAAAACCTTCAATACAAATATATCAAGACAATAACAATAATTTTAAGTAACAAATAAAGAATTTGGTTATAATTCGATGTATAGAAACCAAATATATTTCATGAAAATTAATATGAACTCAAAAAAAAGTTGTTGACCTGATCTGACCTAATCATTTGAGGAAAAATTGACGTACAAGTATACTTAAACCAAGAAACAAAGATAGATGGAGCGAAATTCTGAACTTACTATAGGAACACGAACTCATGCACACATATGTAAGCATTTGCAACCAATGAAATGATTTAAGGTACCCAATTGTGCATCTGGCACTGAACGTGTCACCTATCAGGTAAGAAGAAAGGTGAGTGCGTGTCAGGAGTTGAGCATGGTTTCGGTGTCACTTAAATTGTACCTGGTGTCAGATTAAAAAAAAATATAAAAACCGGCCAAGAGCGTGTCGGGCCACGCTCAGTGTAGGGTTCCGTAGTTTCCCGTCCGTCACAATAAGTGTTACCACTTATGAGTTTAAAGGTGGGTATCCATTATGTTCGCGCTCCAGCAGCGCTCCGCGCTCCTGCAACTGCTCCCGGTAGTGGGTACTGTTGTTTCCATCCAAGTTCAAAATGATTTTCCTAGAAAGTCCCTATAAAGTTCTACTTTTCAGATTTTTTCATATTTTCTAAACTTATGGTTCAAAAGTTAGAGGGGGGGGGGACACATTGTTTTTTACTTTTGGAGCGATTATTTCCGAAATTATTAATATTATCAAAAATGATTTTAGTAAACCCCCATTTATTTTTAAATACCTTTCCAACAATATATCACACGTTAGGGTTGAAATTAAAAAAAAATCACTTCCCACTTTACATATAGGGGGACTACCCTAATAAAACATTTTTTTCCAATTTTTATTTTACCACTTTGTCGGCGTGATTGATACACATATTGGTACCAAATTTTAGCTTTCTAGTGCTCATAGAGATTAGGCGAGGACGGACAGATTGACAGACAGACATGGCGAAATTATAAGGGTTCCTAGTTGACTACGGAACCCTAAAAATGGATTCATGTATACACGTATCGTGAAGTGGCGGTGTAAGAATATCCACTAACCCATATCATCACGTAGGCGTTGTAAGAAGTGACAGAAGGAAACAAATCAGAAGATGGGCACCAGCGTCATCCAAATAACGACTAAAAAACTGCGTTTGCCAATCCACTTGCCAAGTGTGGCAACTATGGCAAATATTCACCTATGGGAGAGGCCTATGCTCAACAGTGTACTTTAATATGCTGTTATGGTAACTGTATACACGTAGGTAAAAGTAAACCCAGATGTTTTCAAAGTTTCCGTCGTTCAGGCGAGTTAACTTGGAGCGCACTTGTTACAAACTAATAAGTGACGTTAAATAAAACCGAGCAAATAATATTAGGCCAAGAGTTTAATTTTATATTATTCTCTTTAAAATAAGAACAAAATGCTGTACTATTATCATAATTAAATGTCTGTTATAAACATGCATTTACTTATGATATACTTAATTATGTTTGTATATGGCAAGGGTAGTCTTGTTCGATCCTACCATAAATACTGCAATTAATAATCTCAGGACCTAGTGGCAAGAGTATCTACGCTCCGGGATTTGCCTTTTCATCCTCGAAGGCATAAAAATTCGTGCACAACACGTTTTGTTGGTTGATGTTGAAGGTAAAATGACTTCATGACTCTTATTTATAATAGAATAAGGATGATAAATGAGTACACAGTCTCATAGTCTCTCGCAGTCACATATTTTAATGCAGTGTAAACTACAGCTGTAAATACCTAATTAATGTAAAAAGAGTAGTAGAACTTTTCAAGGCTTAATTACATCAAAGAAAAAATAGAAAGACTTCTAATCAGATTAGCGTTTAGTGGAAAATTACAAATTTACAATGTTGTGTTGCAACTTACATTAAATTTAAGTAAAATACAACTACTGCGATTTATGAATTTGTGTATGTAACAAAATTTTGGAACAATTGGAAGAGTCTGTGACGTCATCGATAAATTTAATTACAATCTTTTAAGCTGAAGTCTATGGCTCGAACAGGATACGTTGTTCTCCAAATACTTTAACCTTTTAAATTTGTTGTTTTTTTTCACGGCCGTCCATACAGTAAATAGGAAACTAATTAGTTTAAGAAAAACAAATTATTGGCCATAATTAACTTGGGCCGATGCAGATGCAAAGGTAAAACGTTTTGCTAGCATCATTAAAGGAGCGGAGTAAAAGTCTAAAGTCATAACTAGCTTTATTTCAACAAAAGATTCAATCAAACAGTGTGACATTGCGCAGATGTAAATTAGCGCATTGATTAGATAGTAAAAGAAAAAATAATTAAACTCAGATTTTTATTGTTTACAAACCTTCTCTTCGTTGAGCTACAAATATTGCCGAAAGAATTATGTAAATAGACCTACGGGTTACGGAGGAGATAAATTTCAAAGAATCATTTTCTTGCGCCATGGGAATCTCTAATGTCAATTTGTTTAATTTATCAAAAAGTATGTACCTAATTTAGATTCTGAACTACTTACTCAGAGCAAATCTACTTCAACTGCGACCTGTGACCTGTGTTCACTTGTATTTATATTTACGTTCCATGTACAGGGCTTGCAGCTAACGCGCAGTATCCATTTGTTATTGTCTGTCAGTTGTGAATATGTTGTGAATATTTATCTTACTTGGAACTTAATTAAACGTATGTAAATGCTAAGAATAATATTCTTAGATGATTAATTATATGAAACTACCCAGACATAAAATTATCCTTTTCTTGTACTAAATAGAACATTTTAATCTATTTTTAAAATTAGTTTGAATGTATTTTCTTACGTTATTTAAAAATTTTCGCATAATGATTTCTTAAATTTACGCGAACACTACACATTGAATAAAAATATATTTACGGATTTTATCACGTTTAATAAACTATTTTAACTCATTTTAATTCCCAACGTTTCGGGTGCTTTACAGCACCCATGGTTAGGGGGGACTGAGATGTTTGACGCCCCTAAAGCCCGGGTACGTTCAGGTTTTTCAAAACCTGAAGGTAACCAGGCTCGAGCGCTAACGGACATTGGGTATTATTTGCGATATATTGGATATATTGGCGGAAATAGTTTTATTTAATATTTTCGCGTATTTGTCCAACGTTCAAGGTTTGCATTTGGTAGATTGTTCAGCAAAGGTTCGATTATCCTCATTATAAAAATAATGACTTACATTTCACTCACAAATCGTTTAGGTTCAGTTGGAACGAGGGTGGCTATAGGGTAATTGCGGCGGGCATCTGTATCTCAAAAATTAATAAAAATATTGTTGAAAATACCATCTATTTTTTTTTGGTTGTCGAGAGAAATAATAATATTTTCTGTGTCAAAAACCTAAATTGCGCTACCAAATGGAAAGACAATTTGACGCCATTTTTGTTATCGTAATTATGTGTGCTTGTAAATTTTAATTCTCTTACTTGAATTTTTTTTTGAAAATCATCATTATCATCATCCGTTCTATTTTTGGCTAGAGCTGTAAATTAGTTACTCAAAGGAATTTTTTATTTGCAAGAAATTGATATTATATATTAGATCTATTATAGATCCGGAAACAAGCAGTAGGTGTAGTGTGTACATACTGCTATGTATTATTATTTATTAGAGAATTAAACAAAGACGTATGTTAAGGAAATATAAGAAAAGTAGAATGAAATACAGTTTCATACTATTTAAGAAAGCTACCAACCCTGTTCCCTTGTTAAGACAAGTTTAGTTCCCTCAGGCAAAGTCGCGCCGTATTCGCGTGACATTATCGGTGTTTGTGACACAATTGTTTCATACGCCGACCTTGTTATACGATGCCAAAGTTACAACTAAGACGTTATTTAGGTAACGCTGCTAATGCTACAATACGAAAGCAGCTTCTAATACTTTATGCTGTCATAAAGTGGGAATAATTATTTTAATACATTGCTACGTTATGTCAAATTTTTTTTTCCAATTTTAAATTCAAATATAATATAATTTTAAAATTCAAATTCGTTTTGTTAGCATTATTTCAGTATGTGGAAGTTTTAAGTTGTAAAGTTTTTTTAACACATATTATTTAATAAAATAAAAAAAATAAGTAGGAATTATTTACAAATAAATAAGAATTTATATTTAAGAATGCGTCATCATAAATTATTTTCTGTTTAAAATAAGAGACGAATTTTCATTATTTATTTTTACCAGTCGTAGAGAAAAATAAAAAAAAGTGATGTTAATCAGTTGAAGTGTAAGAAGAAAAGAAATAGATATAAAAATCTGAGCGATTATAAAATGCAATACCGTAGATTTGAACTTGGTTGAGAAATAGAACAAGCAGTCATAATGATGTCCCAACATTTTTCGAGCATGTTCGAGCAGATTGGCAACTTCACAAAGAACAGTCTCGTTAATAACAACAAGCTGGTGAAAGAGAAAGAGAATAAAGCTAACGCCAACCACGTCAGCCTGGGTGCTGCGGGAGCGGGAGGCAATCAGCAGGCGTCTCCACATAAACATGGGCAGCCTCCACCACCCCTGAGGAAGCCATGCAAGCTGAGGAACCTCACATCGAAGGCAGAATCATATGACACGCTTTACAGCAACAGTACTCTGGTAAGTTCTAGAACAATTTTAATTTTCAATTGCTTAACAAGATTTAATTAAGTTTGTTAATTATGCATTTATACAATGCGGATAAAATGTTGTAGGTATTTTGTGTATTTTACAAGCGTATAGGTTTCGTCTCAAAGAAAAAAATCTTCCAGCGTCGAATGACGCATGAACGCCCAGGTAGATACTAATTTATTAATTTTCTTGAATTTTTTAAAAGAACTGCGTAACTAACGGATTACTTGGTCTTAAAATGTGGTAGATGTGACAGTATACCTATTATGTTATTGCAATATTAAGCATGCCAATTAAAACTAAATAAGTAACATTTTTTGGAAATACATATAATTATAATTTGCTACACATTATAATTATATGTATTTAATACACAATAATGCCAAATAAAACTAAATAAGTAAATTTTTTTGGAAATTCATATAATTATAATTATAATTATAATGTGTAGCACATTGTACACATATAATGTGCTACACATTATAATTATATGTATTTTCAAAAAAATGTTACTTATTTAGTTTTAATTGGCATGCTTAATATTGCAATAACACAATGGGTATACTGTCACATCTACCACATTTTAAGACCAAGTAATCTGTAATATACAATACTACATTAATTTATGTTTTAACTCAATAAATGACTATCATCATAATTTATATGCAGTACTCGTAATTAAGTTTATAAATTCTTTGAACCGAAGAATATTGATAAACACAGTTAGGGATTAAATTGATTGATTGATTGATGAGGGATTAAGTTGAGTTTCCCTCTTATCCTGTTTCGAATGGTCCAAAACTACCCTCTCCATTCTGTTACAACATGGGTAAAGTTAAACCGTGGAGTAAAAGCCTATATATCCACGTTCCACTGCTAGGCACAGGCCTCCTCTCATTTCCGAGATGGTCTAGGGGTAAGGGAACGTCTGCCACGCTGCACCAACTCATGTGTTGAAGAACTTTACATATTATCTTACATTTTTTCAGACTTGACGGTTTCCTTACGATGTTTTCTTTATCTTCCAAATACGTGATCAAATGAGCACATTATTTTTTTAAATTTATTATCCATAATATTGTTACATTATCCAGTACAATACTAGCATATAAACCCCTAGGGGTTTATCTACGCTAACGAGTCGTCTTATATAAACAAAGATGTATTAATATTAAATCACATTATTCCAACAGAAGTACCTACTACAATAAGTATGGTTGATTTAACAAATATGATTTAAGTTTCCTTTTAAACAGTTTGGATTTACCGTAAGTTTCTTGTAATTCTATTGGCAATTCATTAATAAAAGTAGGTACAAGAAGGGCGGACTTTCTTACTCCATAGAAATTTTTAGTTTTCAGAAGTATATACACGTTGGATTTATAAGATATATTTCGTAGATTTACAGGTCGTTTTTTAAGAAGTAGATATTCTAAATTATTAACTTCCGTCAGTGTATTAAATTTAACTTTATCGAAAACATTTATGACTTTGCAATATTTAAAAAGGCCCTGGTCGTTATCTATGTACTTATTTTTAATATGATTAGGCACTATCCATCGAAGCATCTTGCGTTGTAGTGTGTAAATTTCCTGTATGTACGTTACATAAGTTCTACCATAACTGCTAAGTCCATAACTAATGACGGAATCTGCTAGAGCCATATAAAGTAATCTAAGTATTTTATATGGTAGCTTAAATTTTAAAACATAAAGTTTACTAAACACAGAGCGAAGTTTTGCACACACGTGATCTTGCGCTCTCCAGCAGAATCGTTCATCAATAATCAGACCAACATTCATGTGATTTTTGACATTTTCAATGGGTTGACAATTACAGTGTTGAAGTATTCCACGGAAACATTCATGGCTGTGAGAAATGATCATCGGTGCGGTGGCAACTTTGTTGTGAGATGAGTGTATGTGAACAAGTTTTGTTTTTTGAGCGTTAACCACTAGACCGACATCATGTGCCCACTTACATAGCATGTCGTAACTTTCCTGCATTTCAGTTTGTGCTACAATCGGCAATGACGATACAAGTGTCGTCGGCAAATTGATATGTGGAGCCCTTAGTTATTGCATTTACCATATCGTTAACAAATAGTAAGTACTCAGTCGGACCCAGTATCGAACCTTGTGCTGTGCCGCATTCAGTCGCAAACATATCACCTGTCTGGTTATGTATTTTGACAGTGGTATAACGATTTTGATGATAACTCTTAAGAAGTTCTAAGAACGGTCCTTGAATACCGCAGCGTGATAGCTTATTATATAATGTGTTAAAATTTAATAAATCGAACGCTTTACTAAAATCAATAAATAATACTAAAATATGCATTCTATTATCTAAATAGTTATTTATTTCATCAGTAAATTGTCGTAATAGTTGCGTTATGCTTTTATTTTTTTGAAAACCGAAGAATATGAATAAGGTAATTGTTTAATTCATTGCTCAAATAACGTTCAATTATTTTATTTAGGCAGGAGAGAATAGTTATAGGACGATAATTGTTAAAGTCATTATGTTTGCCTTTTTTGTAGATTGGTCGGATTACACCTATTTTTAGTAAGTCCGGATAAATAGACGTTTTTAGACATTGATTAATTAAGTATGTAATAAGAGGCTTTATTGATTTCGAAATGTATTTTATATCATTTTTTCAAATTCATCGCGTTTTTTACACATATATGCTAGTTTGCTATTAGACCACTCACAACAATTGCGCTTACTAATAACTACAGTTTTTGTATACTTGCATTTATCGTATGCGTTATTCATTTGCGTCCTTATGTAATTAACAATGTCGTTTGGATCAGAGTAACTCAACGGCAACTTCCAATCTATTAAATCGAGTTCACTACGAAGTTGTTTATTATCCAACTTAGTAGTGAGCTGCGGCGCGTTCTGAGCCAGTGAGTCATAGTTCGGATCCGCTCCGAGTCCGAGAATCGCCTATTATTTTATGGTCAGCTGGCGCGATATTCACACCGGCCGTATACACCTCGTTCTAGCATACAGTTCTAATCAGAATGTGATCTAAACATGATTTTGTTATTCGGTTCCCGTATTTTTCTATTCTTGTGTATTGCGTTATACCACGGTCAAATCCTAATTCACAAAGTGTGTTAAGATAACTAGTGCTAATGGGATTTGTCTTCTTTGTATTTAAGTTCATGTCACCCATAATTATACAGCAAATTTTAGGTGAATGTTTACCAACAATATTAGCCAACTTATCAATAAAACGGACTTTGTTTGTATCAGGTGGTCTATATACAGCACATAGGCCTACAGTGCCATTTTTTAAGTTTATTTGGCCATTAATACATTCGCATTCCTTAGTTGATATTTGAAGTCTGCTAAAATGCAGGTATGAGTGAACATATAGCATAATGTCGTCGCCTTTTCTGCCATTTCTTAGTTCGTAATATAAGTTATAATTTAGTGAATTAAACATGTTGGCACAGTGATATTGAATATTAGCTATTATGTGAATTATGTGGAATTTTTATTATATATTCCAGATGTGCAAAGTTCTTAAGTAATGATGATATGTTTACATGAAAAACAGAAGTGAACAATTATTTAAGGGTAGTTTGTCTACAAACTCATTCCAATTATCACAGTTTAACTCAATAATGTTGGGATTTATATTATGTTCTATTCCTACAATATCCATTATCTAAGGTATAAAATGATATTAATTGAGTATACACAAAAGAAATATTTAACAAAAAATATAAAAGAGAAAGTAAGAGAAAAAAAATATTTTCCAGCACTTAACTAAAATGGTTTCTTGTTTAATTAATAAGTTTCTTTTACGAGGCCTTAACCGATTCTAATTCAAAGAGAGTGCGTATGGAGACTATTTTCGCCTTTTCTTCTTTGCGTATTAGAATTGTACCATTTCTGCACCATATAAATTTGTAAGTATCTTTAAGGGCTTCCTTAGTCTTCCATAATAAAAATGCAATCCCGGGTGCCAGTGATTCGCGTAAATATACCTTATCGCTACCTTGCAATCCTAGTTCGGCCGCTGTCATTTTTAGGTCCTTGGCTTTATTCAGCCAGATGTCTCGTGCTCCATCTTGCAGCGTAACAATTATTGGTGAATGTTCTATCCGGTGTGGAGTCACAGTGCGATTTTGTCTCTTACGATGTGCCCTAATTATGTCATTTTGGCTTACCTGCAACTTTATAGCTACCTGTTTAGCTATGTTCACCGGATCTTCACTAGCCAATTCCTTAACACCACAAATATCTATTTGACAAATTAGTTGTTTTTGCTCTATTAGATTTATTTTACTCTCTAGTACACTACATTTAAGATTAATATTTTTTAAGTTGCTTTTTAAATCAATGCACTGTTTCTCTAGCGTTTTGAAGTTAGTCTCGTAGTTGTTAATTTTTCACTGAATTCATCAATTTTGTCAGAATAAAATTTTAATGTTTTTTTGCAATTCTTCTCGAATGATATTTATTTTTATAACATTGTAACTTACAATTGAATTACACCATGAGTGTTTATTAAAATTATTTTAAAAACAAATAAGCATATAGGGTTGGTATAATATTAATTATGTTTTATTTTCCGAAATATTTAGAGTATCAATATGTGTGGAATGGCTTTTTATAACGGTGTTAAGTAATATATTTTCTTTCTATTTATAATGTATTGAATCCGCTAATGTTTAAATGATATTAAAATATTTAAGCACGATCACGAAGAAGATCCGAATCAAGTCTGGTGGCATAGGATTTGCCATTAGTAAGGAATACAAAGTCAGGTATAAAAATAAAACAATATGTGGCAGGCAACATACGTCACAAGTTATAATTTCGCCTTTTTATGAAGCTAATATTTATAATTCCAAATTATATGAAGTCCATATCATGTGGTTCTATTTTCGTTCAATATTAATAAAATGTGTATAAAAAATGTTCTTCCTAGCATGATAGCAATGTCTTAAAAGGCCGCAGTAATCATTTACGATCGAGTTAGCCGCGTACTCGCTTTACCTTTTTTATTTGAAAAATATGTGAAGAGACAAAGGGGAATATACCATTTTTTCAGCAAGTATCAACTTCACTTGCATATCAGTCACCTGCATATGGTAAATTCACTATTTTAGCTTGCAAGAATGATTCTCTATCAACTATCAAATGGAAATAT